CACAACTCTTTTTTAAAAAGAACTTAACTATGGAAACATATGATATTTGAATTTTATATCAATAAAACTATTGGGAAAAAATAAAATAAATACTATTACCCAAAAGAAATGAAATTGATAATGTCACAACAGAATCAAGTGAAATAAAAAGCCACATAATATTGTGAAGAACTATATTACAAAAATTTGAAAATCTATATGAAGTGGACAGATTTCTAGAAGCACACTACATAGGCATAGCTAAATTGACCCAAAATGAGGTAAATAGTTTGAACAGACACTTCACAAAAGGAGAAACTGAACAGGTTAAAATAAATTACCAACCACAACAAACAGTCCTGACCCAGAAAGTAATATGGCACTATCTAAGACAACTAGGAATTAAAAATGCTCTTGCTGAGCATATACTCCAAAGAAATAAGACACAGAACACAAAGAAAAGAACTGATTCCAACTCTACTCAAACAATTCTGGTATATACAACAAATAATGTAGACATGTAAAAGGGGAACTACAGAATATTACTTCAAGAAAGCAAGAGTCCTATACAAGTGGAAGAATATCCTGTGTTTGTGGACAGGAGGATTTAATAATGTGAAAATGTCAATATTATCTAAAGCAATCTACAAACAGCACAATTTTAATCCAAATCCCAACTTAATTCTATAAAGAAATGGAAAAACCAATTACTAACTTCATATGGAGAAGGAAGAGGTATGGGATAAGCAAAGAACTTCTCAAAAAGAACAAAGTAGGAGGCTTTTTAATACCCAACTTCAAAGCCTGCTTCACAGACACAGTGTTCAAAATAGCCTGGTACTGAGCCAATGACAATTACATAGGCCAATGGAATAGGATAGAAAACCCAGAAATACAAGCATCCACATACAGCCAACTGATTTTTGAACAAAGGACAAAAAACATCTTTAAATGAGAAAAGGACAGCGTCTTGAACAAATGGTGCTGTAAAAATTGGATCTCCATCTACAAAAGAATGAAATAGGTCCCATATCTCACCCCATGCACAAAACAAAACTCAAGATAGATTAGAGACGTAAATGTAAATCCTAGAGTTCTAAGAACCATCAATGAGAAAATTGGGACAAATTTTAAGGGCCCTATTGCAGAGTATACACAGACTACCAAATATAATAAAGAAGTACACACAATGGAAGACAAAATAGATTAACTAGGACCTATCTTAAAAGACCTCTCAGAAAAGTAAAACAAGATCCCACAGATTGGGGAAAAAATCTTTAGCAATGACACAACAGTCAAGGTATTAATTATTAAAATATAGAGAACTCTGCAACATCTCAATAAGGGAAAGGCAAATAATCCAAGTAAGATGGGCCAAAAAAACATAAATAGACAACAATTCACAAAGGAATACACTGAAATGTATAACAAACACATGAGGAAATGCTATTAATCACTTGCTATCTGGGAGATGAAAATTAAAACATTTAGATATCACTTTGCACTCAAAATGATACCTGATTTTTTTTTTTTTAATGCTGGAGAGGGTGCAGAGAGATTGGAACTCTTACACTCTGCTGGTAAGTTTGTAAATATGAATTTAAGGGAATGTCTATTGATTTGGGGTGGCCTCATCACAATGTTATATGGCAGTAATGGAGTGTTCTCCCTCTCCCCTCATCTTGAGAAACTGACCTCAGCTGAGGTGAGGTCTCCCTAGTCGAGGTGCTTTTTAAGCTGTACATATTAAAGGGGTGATACATGGCTCATGGTCACTAGGCAGGCTCTCTATTGAGTTGATTCTAATGCAGAGTGACTTATAGAACAGAGCAGAACTACCCCGTAGAATTTCCAAGGCTATAAATCTTTACAGAAGCAGATTGCCTTATCTTTCTCCCTTGAAGTAGCTGTGTTAGTCTGGGTAGACTAGAGAAACAAATCCATGGACACACATATGTGTATAAAGGAGATGTTTATATACAAGAGCAATTGAACATGGAGAAAACATCCCAGTCCAGTCCAGATCAAGTCCCTAAGTCCGATATAAGCCCATATGTCCAATATAAATCTATAAAGTCCTCTTCAGACTCATGAAACACATGCAGTGAAGCCAAATGCAGGACCATCACAAGCCAGTGGGTAGAAAGTCTTTGGGTCCAGTGGCGTTGTAAGCATCTCAGCGCTGGCAGGGGTCTCTGTGGCTTCTCCGGCTTCAGAGGTCTGGTTGCTTCCATGTGACTTGTCTTCTGCAATGTCTCCCAGGAAGTAGCAGAGAGAAAGAACTGTCTTCTGCCTCCAAGAAGGAAGCACCAGATTTCCCAGAATTCTCAGGAGAAGGCCATGCCCACAGAAGTCTCATTGGCTATCTCCAGATTGACTCCACCCTAGACCCCAGCCTAGACTCAACCCCTACACTCTTAATCCTTAAATTAACATCAGATTAGGTGACTACCACAATAGTTTATTGAATTTTCTGTTAGCATCCCAACGCTTGAACCATTTCTAAATGGCTAAAGCCATTTTGAAACTCCAAAACTGAAATGAACCTCACTGCCATTAAGTAGATGCCAACTCAGAGATCCTATTTGGATACATTAGAACTGCCCCTGTGGGTTTCTGAAACTGTAACTCTTAACAGACTAGAAAGCCCCATGATCCCTTGTTAACCATGTTATTGTTGTTGTTGTTAGGTGTGCTCAAGTTAGTTCTGACCTATAATGACCCTGTGTACACAGAATGAAAAGCCACCTGGCCTTTTGCCATTGTTCTTACGCTTGCAGCCACTGTACCAATCCACTTTGTTGAGCACCTTCCTCTTTTTCCTTCCCCTCTACTTTACCAAGCATAATGTCCTTCTCCACGGACTGCTCTCTCCTAATAACATGTCCAAAGTACAAGAAATAAAGTCTCACCGACCTTGCCTCTAAGGAACATTCTGGCTGTACTTGCTCTAAGACAGATTTATTTGTTTCTTTGGCAGTCCACAGTACTTTCAATATTCATTGCCATTTACCCGAAGAGATGCAAATCTAAACCATGAGAAATCATCTCACCCCAGCAATGACAGCAAAGTTTTTTAAAAAAAAAACAACAGATGCAGGAGAAGTTGTGGGAAGATTGGAATTCTATTACACTGCTAGTGAAAATAGATTGACATTTCACTAAAAGTTGAAAATAGAAATATCATATGAGTCAGCAATTGCACCACTAAGTAGAGAAGTAGGAGTCATGCACACCCATGATCATCACAGCATAATTCACAATAGCAAAAAGATGGAGGTAATCCAAATGCCGATCAACAGACAAATACAAAGAAACTATGGTACATACACACAATGTACTACTATGCTACATTAAATACTATGTTCTATAACACCTTATAACATGGATGAACTGAAGCATATTATGCTGAGTAAAATAAGTCAACCACAAAGAACAAATGTTTTTGAGACCATAATTATAAAAAGTCAATCAAAGGTTTACACATAGAAAGAAATGTTGTTTGACAGTTACCAGGGACTGGAGTGGGAAGGAGGGAAACTAATGATAGAGTTGACATGTATTAACTTGAGTTAAGGGAAAACATTTAACAATGAAAAGGTCACACAACATGACCAAAGAAAAGGAATACGCTGAGAGGCACACACAAGAGAAAAAGGCCAACAACGGTAAATAAATGCACAACGCTGCAGAAAGAGTAATAAATAATAATTTACAAATGAATATACAAGGAACTATGAAAGGTGAACAGGTATAGAACAGTGTGCCCAAGAATACTGCTAGAGGATTATTTCTACAGATGTGTTTATATGTGCTGCAAATAGATTCAGGTAGATAGAGAAGCATCCCATGAAGGACAGTTCTAAAAATCCCTTAGCTGTAACCCAAACCCCTGAAGGACAAGGCCTTGAGCTTGGAACTACAGTCTTGGGGGCGTCTAGGTCAATGGGATGAGAGTTCACCGAAGAAAATATTTGAAATTCGAACTTGGGGAGTAGTGACTGGACAGATTGGGAGAAAGT